GCATGTTGACGTACTTGGCAGGTGGGGTGATGTACCCAGTCCTAGCGTCACGGTCGTATGGGTCGCACCCTAGTCCCTTGTTCTGATGGGAATAACCAGACCCCACAGGGTTATTTCTGATGCTGGATGTTGGCATGTTGTGGTTCATCGGTTTACCGAAGCAGTAAGCGGCAGCATAATATCCGCCATTAATATCCGAGTTGTGACCATGGAAATGAGTTGAGAGCTTTTTTGTTCCAAGGCGGTGGTTTATGTTGCTTGGTAGTGCGTATTTGTGTTGAAGACCTTCTGGCAACGAAACACTCCTCACCGTTGTTCGACAAAATACGCTTAAAATTGCTTTGTCTGATGTCAGTATTGGGTTTGGGTCCCTGAGTTTTGCCTGGGGCTTCCTGGTCCTAATTCTATCCTTTGATGGGGTGCTCACTATAATTTGACCAGAGTGGTTAGTCTTGGGAGTGGGGATCTCAGAAACTATCAATTTTAATGGAGGAGTAGCATCAGGGTCCACGAGTGCCTGTTTCCCAGATGATGCTGGGGGATAACTACACACTTTTTTTGGCCGTCATATGTCCCTTTTATCTTTATTAAGGTGCCTCTATAATTGTAGAAGGAAAGGCCAAATCATTCTTAAAGTGCTTTCTTCGTTGACAGGGTGTTGCATCTTGCATAATGGCAATTTCTTTGAGATTACAGTTAGCTCTAATGGTTTTCTGCTGCCTAATAAGTTTTCTAGCGTCAAGTGGCGTTAGAAACTTGAGGATGGTGGGGCAGCTGCCATGTGAAAGTTTCTGGCGTAAGCGTTTACACTCGCAGGGTATAATTATCATACCGCTAGCTCGTAAGATCTTACCCTTAACTGTTTCTAAGTGCACGTTATCAAGTACATTTTACACTACAGCTTGCTGAGGCGATAATCGCTTTATTACCTGAGTAGCAACGAAATATATTAAGCTGTTGGCTTTCTGCAGGTTGTCACTCGATAGGGTGTTATTTTGGTCAAACAAACAAGCTAACGGAGAGTTTCTCCGGCGTACCTCGAACATCAACTTATATAGTCTTAATATAGGCAATGTCATGTTGGTTTTTCTTGAGTCTTGCATCCATTCCGGGGACAATGTCTGAGGCTCTGATGATCGTTGTGCGTTAAATAATCTCTCTTGCGTATAAACTGCGGGTTGAGGCATCTCACTGCTTTTAGAGACGGATCCTGAAGTACTCGTTTTCGAATTATGACTAAAACATTCTGTTTTCGAGAGCTTGGCTTTATTTCTTCCCACGGTTAACGTACGGATTTTGGTTTTTCGTTTGCTGCGTCAAGCAGAGGTTATTTAACACGTAAAGGTGGACGGATTCGCTAACCAAATATAATATGCGTGTGCTACTATTTTTTGGACAGTACTAGATATCACAGTGCACGTAATAACCGATTCAGAGCAGACGGCAGAAGTCATGTTAAAATGTTACACAGTTTCGAACGTACCACGTACCGGAAGGCTTTACGTACAAGTAATCTGTGTGCGGTTGTGTATCAATAAATGTGAGTTTGTATCAACACTGAGTAACCACTCATGATAACCACGATATAAATGTTAAGGCAGAAACGCCTGAACGAATTACTAATCAAATCTGGTTTACTTGCATGTGACGTGCCAGTCAGTGAACTCTTATATTTGATCTAAGCTAATTCAGACTTTCGAGTACAAGTCTCGGTTGTTGCAGTTTGTTCTGGTGTAACACTGTTGCAGCTTGTCTCCTGAGCGTCATCGACGAACATTAGAACTAGTCAGCCTATGCAAGCGCTTTGTTGAACCTGTCGACAACAACAACAACTCTATCCCCACTGCCCACTGCTTTGTACGGACCATGAGAAGCTGTATCTAATGGCTGTTAGGTGAAACCTCTTCTGACACAAGAGTGAGTACAGTCAATTAGCTGAGGTCGGAAGTGTGGTGACCGTTATTTTGATAGTAGAAGTGACTTTATCAGTTTGCTCACATGTCGTTATAGTATTTGCTCATAGTTTGCTACGTCAGGTATGACTCGTTTATCAGACGTGAGAAGCTCTCCAGGTAACTGCGGTGTTATCACGCGGACTAACTTTGGGGGCAGAAACCAATGTCTCCCTCATCAACGTGGCTCCCATTTCAGGCTGGACCAATGCAAGTTTGTTGGTCCGGTTGCTTTTATTCCAAAGACAAGTAAACCCTATCTTAAGCAATCCTAGCAAGCATTCTACCACACCAGTAGAACTAGGGTATATACAAATTCGATATTGTTCACCTGCATTAGCGGTGATGATTGAGGAGACACTAAAGTTGGACCTGCAGCGGCTAATTGGTGCTGTGGCAAGTGTTCTGGCTCAAAAGCCCGATAAAGCCCTGCTGGAGGCTTCACGGCCTGTTAAAACCGTGTTAGCGGCCTCTTCCCACCTGTACTGGAAGAGCTTTATGGTCAGGAATGTGGTCAGTCACTCCACCTAATTTGCCGCAGCGACATTGAGTTGGTTGCAAAACATTCAAAAAGAATACCGGCAGCCACCATTCACGATACTCATTCAGTTGTAAAACCGTTCAAACCGCCACTTTGAAAGCACCTGTAGTGAACGGTTATGGAGGGCTTACTCCTCTTCTCGAGAGAAGTGTCGTTTTACCATATAACTGTTCGGCCTTTCGAAAAGTTGAATTACTTTTGTAGGTATGTGGGGGGGGGGCAGAAGCGTTCTCTTAATGGCTGCAGAACAGCGGTACAGTTTGGAATGAAGCGACGGTAAAAGCTGACCAACCCTAAGAAACGGCATATTTCTTTTAAAAGCCCGGTAGCATGTGGCCTTTTAAAACTTTTGCTCTATCTGAAACTGGTTTTACGTCTTGTTTGTCAGTTAGCCATCTCAAGACCTTAAGCGAATGCTTTTCAAACTTGAGTTTAATCACCGGCCTATATATATCACGCCGCTTGAAGAGAGCTTCTGAGTGGTTCATGTGTTTTGTCCCAACTGAACCAGCCATAAGTGATTCACCAATGTGAGCGTAAGTAGAATAAGGCACACGGTGGGCGTGATCTATGAAACGTTCAAATGTCTGAGTGTCATTCCTCATTATGAGGAGCGCTAGACTGGGTTAAGTGGAGCAAAAGGAGAAGTAACAGGTTCGTCTTTCGGAAAGCGGTGTCGTCGGTTGAATTACTAGCGAATATTAACCAGAGATCACTTGTTTCTTTAGAGCCTGATAATCATAACTGGGGTGGAAGTTAGATGGAAACCTCTTCGGGACCACATAGAGCGATTACAAACATGTGCTGCCAGAGGGCTGGATGATACCAAGTCCAAGCATTCCATTGAGCTCTTCTTTTGAAACCTCCACTTGCTCTTGAGCATCGACTGGTGTGATGGAGAGATCAATAACGATTTGATCATAGCGTATCGTATCGTCCATGACTATTTTCTTCCTAGCCAAGCGCCTGATAGCTCTAATCGAAACCACCAACTTGGAGGTTATTCTTTCTCATTAGATCATAAGAGAGCACTTTCGATGCCCGCTCTCACTCGTTTGCATTTAGAGGTAGCAAACAGTGAAAATTCCATAGTCGAGTAGTCACATACCCTTCTTCTGACACTTTCAAAAGGAGGATTTGTGCACATGTAGTGCTGACTGACCGTAACTAAAAGGCTCCCGTTCCTATTACAAACCTCAGAAAGCAGCACTAGCTGTGGCAATCCAACTGAAAAATTAACAAATTATCTGCATCCTCTCGGTTTTTTTGACCCGGAAAAACAGCCGACCATTTGAAATATGCGACTTATTCTATTAAAGCAGATGTGGAGCCCAAGGGACTGTTGTCCTCTGCGTCTACTACACGAAGTTTGAAGGTGGTGAAACCACTCTGTTCCTTAACTGGGTGGTAATACTCCCGGCTTAGCGCGTTTTGCCGGCTTCTCAATGCAGACTTGAGTACTGCAGAATGATGATGAGATCACGCAATACTTACCCCCTAATTTTGCCATGCATTTGTTTCACTCTTTTCATATCCACATAAGTAATACTTCAAGGGTTGCACCTTAATACTTGACCAGCACCATTCATGACAAGAAGCATGTGAAAAATTTGGAGTTGTAAATCATTTTAATACCTCCATTTTTCACGAAAATCCAAGTTCGAGTACGACTGGACATCTTTGGGTTCTGGGATTAAGCCATGCCGTGATTTATTACACCAAATATATGTACTGCATGGAATACCAAGCCAACTGAGGAAGTTACGTTTGACCAAGTAACAAATTGAAAAACGTTTGTTACTTACGAAATGACGCCAGATTTTCACTGCTTTGGTGAATAGGTTCCTCAGCATTATTTCAGGCTCTACGTTTATGGCAGTTCAACAAATTCTACTGAACCATCAAGCCGTCTGTTGTGTGCTTAATGACCAGGGTCCAAGCATCCGTTATACGTCTATCCTCACTTTCAGCCTGTCCCGTAAGATTCAAGTCACTCTTTCCAGTGCCAGCCTGACAATGTCTGATATTGACGTCTCTATTCACTTCAATATCTGATGCTTACTTAATAACGTCGGAGCGTCTATTCAAACGATGGTCTGAGCAAGCAGCTGTCGCGTCTCCTTGCGAATTTGTGGGTGATGATAGCATAAACATCAAGAATTGAAAGCCAAACATTCTGTTATTTTCAGCTCTTATTTTTTGAGATACTGAATAATAAGGGCATTTTTTTCCGCATGAACGCGTTAAATCTTTTACTTGTCATCTTAAACGTCTTTCTTTGATTTTTTGAAATAGAAGTTTCCCTTGAGGTTCCAGTTGAACCATCTGAATTTTTTCTCCATTCAAGACATACCAAACTTTTTTATGCTTCTTTTGAAAGAAAATTAGTTCTTTCTTCTCGCGGTAAACAGGCTGATTTGATATGCAACCAAAGGTTTAATAAAAGAAGGATCAATCGCAACAACTACTTCAACAGTTTCACATATTGAATGCCTGTGATTTGTTTTAACTTACTTCTTGTACTTTAATATATGGTGTAGTATACGAGCAGATTTATATGTTTCAGCTGAACGTTGGTTGAGTAGATTTTGTTCTGAAGTTTGTAATTAGATTGAAAGTAACTATGTGTTTAATAACAAACGCAAACTTTTTCGTCAAGTGTGTGAAGCATTTGTCACTTTGGCTACTAATGATGAATACGCCTGTGGTGCACTTGTGTGGGCTCATTCTTTGCGGGAGGTAAAAACAACTAAACAGCTTGCTTGTTTGGTCACAAATCAGGTTTCAAAACAGATTCTGTACGTTTTCATTGTCTTCATTACCCTCATAGTTCAGGTGCCTGATGGAATCTGTGTTTGATCATGTGGAATTTGTGGATGTTCTTGATAGTAAGGATGAAACGAATTTGGCCTTGTTATCACGGCCAGATCTTGGTGTAACATTCACCAAATTACACTGTTGGAGGTTGATACAGTACACAAAAGCTGTTTTCATGGATGCAGACACCGTGGTAAATTTCCTGAATATTGATTTGCAAGAATTGTAACTGTTTCCTCTATTACGTTTTTCATAATTGTTTGATGTAGTTGGTCACAAACAAAGTCATGACTGCAATTTAGAGTTTTTTATTGTAACATCACTCTTCCGATATCCTGTACTTTCTTACGAGCTAGTGTAAACTGAGTGATTTCTTCATGCTCACTTAGATATATAAAATATACTATTTACACCTGCATAAATACCAGAATAGTTAGCCATTCATACTTTGGAATAAGTGTTTGTGTCATTACTAATGAACGTCTACCCTATCCAGTTGGAACTGAAAAAAATAGCTGATTTATTCTGACTCAAAATATATCAATATCGGTAAATGTAAACATCTAATTTCAGGATTTTAGTATAATTTAGTCGTATGTGGTCGATCAGTGCTAAGCGTGTATGGTGATTCAGCTACCTTTGCAGTGAAGGTAAAAAATCTCTAGTCATCTTATTATTGAAAGTTTGTAAATGTATTTCAACAATCTGTAATAGTAATGTCAAATACCATATGCTTCCATTTGATATTAGAAAAAATTTCGATCGAAGATGGGATCTGAATCAAATTATTTTAAGAAATTCGAGTAGCCGTTTTTATTAACTGTGACTACGGAATTAGGTTTTTAACAGTTAGCTTTGAAAATGATAGGTAGTAAGCAAAGGCGAACTACTTGTCGGTGGTATGTGAGAGATACCGGGTTTCGTATCCTGACTGGCTGTTCAAGTTCCGTTCATTCAGTGTATTTGACTTTGAGTGATTGAATTGTAATGTTTGTACCACTGTCTTAAACACTGGTTTCATTCTGTATGCGCTACATAGGTAACAACTAAATATCAATTTATGAAAATGTTTTCAAAATTCAGAGAGACAGCTTTTACTTCATATTTGCATGTTTGAATTCTCTTTTCCTCCGATACATTTCTTAGCAAATTTTCACTGTTTGAACAGTTGACTGAACCAGTTGTAAAGTAATAACCAAAACAAAAATTGTTTTTTGATTCGTAATTAATTTGACTGTCTAGTTCTTAGCAATAATCGAAACATTTCTTTCAAACATGCATTTACGTTACTGTTCTTTAGGTTCTGCAACATGGATAGTAACTTAGCATGTCTATTCTTATACTTTATTAAAGGTATTAAAAAATATTGATGATTTGTTTGAGCGAGATGAATTAAGTGCTTCACCGGATCCAGGCTGGCCAGACTGCTTCAACTCTGGAGTTTTTGTGTTTAAACCCTGTCTGGAAACATACAAAAAACTTCTTCAGTTTGCAATTGAACACGGGAGTTTCGATGGTGGCGATCAGGTACGTCTTAGAATTCTCCATTTTGGGTTTTTATAAGTGTCTGTGAGAAGAATTTGTCTCATCTCGTTTTCGTTCTGTGGCTTACTTTGACTATCGAGACATGTACGAATGCCCATTCTATGTTGTCATTTTCCCTGAGTCGAGGGATATCCTTTGATTCTTCCTTTCTTTTACTTTTCGTCTTAATTACAATGCAGTCACAATGCGGCATAAATGTAGAGTTATATCACTGGTGATAATTCAGCTGACAGGTTTGAAAACGGAATCTTGAACTGTCACCGTTTTTAGTTTTACTAGCTTTATATTTTTAGGACTCGTCATTTAGATCGTTATCCAGATTTATATACAGACATTTCAGTGTGTCTTTCTATTAAGTGGGCACATAAAAACACATAATAGCTGCTATTATAATTGCCATAAAAATCACTTTAAATGAGATGCATCGACAAGCTGTGGCTTTCGATCACTCTATTATCCGTTGTATGTTTCTTGGTTTTCTTTTTCTTTCTGTCGAATTTTTATGATAATATTTGAAAGATTAGTGATGATTTTGCATCATGTCATATGGATCATATTAGATTAATGGCGTTCGGTTAAATTGGTAATTACTTCAGCAAAGAGCAACCAAGTTGCTTTTTTAGTAGTTCTAAGATGTGATACGAAATCCCTATTTGTATGATTTACAAAATTGTTTTCAGTTTTCTTTCGAGTAGTACCAATATAAGTATTAGGCGTGATATCTCCAAAAAATCGAGTAAATTAAATGGTTGCTGAATGAGGTACATGGGATGTTACGTGGAAATTGAAACATTGTAATGTAATTTAGGGCTGTATATTTCTGTATGTTATTCAATGACTGTCTTTCTGTATGTTTGTTTTGGATTATCTGAAAGTGCATCTTGATTTTGCTTTTGGCAAACGTCAATATTGGTCTTATCATTTTAAATTTTAGGGTCTGTTAAATCTCTTTTTTGCTGATTGGGCAACTAAAGACATTCGTTTCCACCTACCCTTCGTGTATAATGTTATAAACCAAGCATTTTATTCATATCCACCTGCCTTACTACGGTTCCGTAGTCAAGTTCGTGTTGTACATTTCATTGGAGCTGAAAAACCTTGGCACAGTGGATTGGATAAATTTGGACATGTTATTGTACATGATCCAACAAATGTTGGAACCCTGGAATTCTTGCAATACTGGTGGGATTTGTTTATGACACACGTTCATCCTAAACTGAATGCCGATGAAGTAAGTGATAAATGAAAGTCAATCATTATGCTGTATTCGGTACAAAATGCGTGAATTTGCCTTGTTACGTATACGTTATCTACCTGACTAAATAAGCTCCTGAGAAAAACAGACAAATTTAGCTTAGCTGATATTAAACTGACATTTTAATATGTGGATATTGAGTATGGTCACGGAGTGCCTGTTGAAATCACACCATTCAGTTATTAATTTGTAAGCTTTCTCTTACTATAAGTATGAGATCTTTAGTTTCTTTCCTGTATGCGAATTAGCTGGTTGCCTTGTAGACATCATTTTTCGTGCATGATCCCAAAGTTTTTGCTCCGATAACAACTTAGGGTTTCAATGATAACCTAACTTATAAGCGTGGCTGTCGTTGTGGGTTGTTTACTCATTTTCGGATCGGGTGGTAGTGGTAGTGTGTATTCTAATAGGTAGTTAGTGATATTTGATTAGGCCTACTCCATCACCCGCAACCATTTGTACGCTTTTCTACTTGTATTTAGGGAATATATAATATGGAAGTTTCCACGTTATATCTTAAAATATCGATGACTACGTGTTGTGGTCTTTGGCCTTTTATTTGATGGCATATCTATAGAGTTTTGTCTATGATATTACCTATTTATAGTACTTCTGAGTCCTAACTTGCGGCACACTGTTACTTTTCATATTCACTCTATCACTAAAACTATTACGTGACCACGTATGCCAATTTTTATATTCTGAAAATCTAAACGTTCGTTTTTATTAGTATCCCTCTTTTAGTACCGCCTCTTTAGTTTCTGTGCTTGCTCTTTGTTTCAGCCACTTTAGAGTTTGCAGTATGGTACTCTTATTTCATTGTTCGATAACACCTATATGTATGTGCATACTTGCACCCTACCACTTAAAATGGTTGATTTAGTTAAAAATAGCTAGTCACGAAGCATAATCTGGTAAACAAAGTCTACAGAATATGATATTTCAAGTTGGTGAGAATCAAACGATAGTAGGACGTGGTAGCACTGTAATTCGTTGTTTGTTTTCTCTCTCAGAAAGTTAATTTCTCATTCAGTGGCCTGATATTGATGATGATTCTTTCATGTATTCCACTGATCTTTGTTCAGGAGTGAGAGTTGTTTATTTTCAGTGCTACAGTTCGTTTAAATTTACATTTACGGTCATTAGTTAGGCACCGATTACCCATCAGTATCTTTACCAGAGCTTCATCACTGGTTTTACAAAATAATACATATCATTTTTATCAGGGAACATTCAGTAGATGAATATTTTAAGCTTTTTATAGATCGATTGGCCTATTGTAGTAAGCATGAGGAGCAAAGTTTCTGTGATGTTATTGATGGTAGCTTTGGCTGTTTTGAAAAAAACATAAGTTACCTCATCTGTATGTTTATTTGAAATCTAGCGGATGATTGAGAATGTAGTGCTTATGCTAACTGATGAAGTGGTCTCGAACGAATGCACTTGTAGAGAGCTGAAAACAAGCTCGAGATTCGTTTTTATATAAGAACTGCTAACTGATACTTAACGAAAATTCAGGTAGCTGTTATCGTTTTCAAAATGCTTGAACTGAAAATATAGATGTCCTAAGTGACAACCATTATAAAATGGTTATATAGTTGAAGCTCAACAGAGATTTAGTTACTTTGTAAGTCTGGATGAAGGAAACAGCCTGGTTCGTTAAACGAGAACAACCATGCAGATAAAATGCAGCTGATATTAGAAGGTAACTTTGAACTCTGAAACCTATGAGAGGTAAACGATTTGATGGAAAAACAGAGCATAAGAACAACACTTGGAAACTCTGTAGTTGTCCCGAAACTCATAAAAATAAAACACTATCAAGTCCTATCTTAGACATATTCAATTCTTTGTATTGTGTCACAGTAGAATGATTATCAAGATATCCAGGGTTACGAAGAAGCTATATAAACGGATGAAGCATACAAGATATGCTTGGATTTATGATCCTAAATGAAAGCCAATATGTTCAAAATAAAACTGTCTTCATTGAATGCTTACAAACAATTCATTTTTAGGAACAGTGAAATATTTGTCACAATTAGAAGGAAAGCTGTCATAGTTCTATTAATAGAAGACATGTGTAACATTATTTGAGATGCAAGATCAACATATTTTTTGTTCTTCATATTGAAATATGCGGACATATAAATGGAGTTGCAACAGGACCTCTTGCTCTGCTTCTCGAAATTGTCTTTATGACAAATGGGTTTTATCTGATTCACTCCTCTGTGCGCTCTTAACAAATTTCTTTCATTACCAGTTTTATTAGTAAGATATCATCGACCCATTTCTGATTACATTGAGGACTTCACGTTAGTACTATGACTAAATGACTAGCATTGGTTTGGTTTATAGTACACTTTTTTTATTCACGTAATTTTTAAAAGTAAGTAGTTTGAGATAAACCAATCCAACAATTTTAAACATTTAGTCTTATTAGATAGAGGTTGAAGTTCGTATTTAACTGTACACCACTGAAATATCTATTAATAGACTTATTTTTCGACAGGTGAAATTTCACAGGTGTTTCCTTAGTAATTCTGGTTTGATGCCACTTCTTTATAAACAATAGAATCTATAACGATTACTTATTTTCACTACCTCACATTAAACTTTGTGTACATTAACTTAATTAGCTTCAGAAATGAATTATTTGGTTGTTTTCTCGTTCATTCATTTTCTCAGACTCTTGAAAATATAATCATAGTTTGTATATCAACTGAAATACTACACCTTATTTACGTACATCCAACGCAGTGACAATTATATATATATATATATATATATATATATATATATATATATATATATATATATATATATATATATATATATATATATATGTCCGCACCCAAATCTCGGTCACCATAAATCCAAACACTTATTTTATATTTCACCTTCATGTGTATTTCCATTATATTTATTATGGTTATTTTGTTCTGCTTTTTGAACACAGTATGCATATTAGACAATCAATTTTGTAGTGCTTAAGTTCACTGCAATAGTGTACTAAGAATAATATTGAATGCTAAAATGTGTTTAGGTGTGTAGCTTGACTGTAAATGGAGTTGTCTGTAATTTTGGTCCCTATTTTAAAGTTAATGAATGCTTCTTCTTTGGCATCTTCCCATAGTTTGTTGAAATTATCTGCTGGTATAATCGAAAACTATCCGTAGCTTCCTAGTTGTTTAGAGAGATACAATATTTACTCTTTATTTGCTGAAATTTATTCACTTACCATTATAAGAACCAATCTGTCTTCACTGGGATATTGTTTGTGCCTGTGGTCGAAATACCATTTGATGGGTTGTTTTACAATTAATTCTATGTCCTTGAGAACAAATATTTTAGAAGTAAATTCTTGTTAAGAAAGTAGGATTACCATCTGCATTGCACCGAGAGAAGCGTTGAAAATTTGATGGGAGTATTTTTAATCGTTTTCATGCCCAAACTCGAATAACAAACTATCGCCTACCTATGGCCCATCTCAAGTTGGGATTAATAAATCCCTTATTGGAGGTGCCGCATGTGAAAATAACCGCTCAACAAAATACAAAGACCATTGTATGTTATACATTTCTGGCAGTTCAAAAGTACTGGTAACCGAATGTCATTTATGGGAATCAGTGTTGGTTGTTAGATTATTAATCTTATTGAAATATAGGAATTTATCAAAATATGGGATAACAGACTCCAAAAGTATCAGTAATTTAGAAAAAAAGTGGACTACTTCAATACATCCATTAGTACACAACCACACAATCGGGTGGGATTAAAGCATTGTACTTAAATCCAATATAGTTAGATGGAGACAGAAAGAAATTGGATGGTGAATCGAATCAACACCCAACATGTAAGAGGAATGATGCAATACGTACACCAGAGATATGGAAAATTTCGCTACCAATGAAAACAAAAAATATAACATGACAGGACAATAAAAACCAGATGTCGAAAGTGATGTGATTGCATTGATATGATTATGAGCAACAATTTATGCTCGAAACGTCAAGTATTTAATAGTATATCACTATGGATTGTATATTAAATAAACAAATATAAAATGGAAGTATCCAAGGTTTTTGTGTTGTTTGGTTTTGAAGCATTAAAGATTTTGTTCGTATACATGAAATAAGTACCACCTCACCATTCAAGTAGAAGGCAATGATACAACTCATCTGTATAACTATAAATGAAGATGTGGGTTTGTTTAAAATGATATAGTCTTCTTCTTATGGATTTGTGAAGTTAGCAAGTGTATTTATACTGAATGATGATTGAAGGTGAAATGAAAATTTAGACCGGGGCCAGATTCGAACCAGTGACCACCGGGTTTCCGGCCCTATGCCCTACCAAATGAGCTACGAGGTTCGACTACTGACCAAAATTTTATTTATCTTCAGTCACCATGGGATTCGCCCGACTACCATGTAAATTCGTGACGTGCATTACAATCACTTGATCATACTCACACTGGCTGACTAGTCAGGACTTCTCATCCCAGTCGAAATCTAAGTGTTTTAAAGAAGGGGAGCATCAAATGAAACATCTCGCTCAAACGTTGGAATTTTTTCTTTCAAACACGCTGAAATTCATACAAATACAACTTATATATAATATTCTGTAATCAAACAGTATATTGTTCCATTAATATCCTATGTCGATCATCGATTAGTACAATCAGTATTCTAAATTTTAGTGTATTTTGACCAAAATTTTGTAGACAATACCTACAGTTCAGGTAAGATTTTTCATACCTAATCATATTGTTGGTGTTGTCGATAAGTTAAAATTGCACTTGTTTTCTTTCATTATTATCGTTTTTTTGTATTTGTGAACTATATCTTGAGTGTTGTTAATTTGACTATTTCCTTAATAATTTCATGATAAATTGATAATCATTACTCAAGGTTCTTGTTTTATGACTAAATTGTCTGTTTATTTTTACTCATATTTTTAAAAATAATAAAATTAACAGAGTGGCTTTGTTGGGAGACTAGCGCAAATAGAAATAAATGAAGCTCAATCCAGCGCCGTACATGTTCGACATGAATCTGAAAGACAAATGGCTTGGGAACGTGGACAGATGGATTACATGGGTTCTGACTCATTTGAAAAAATACAGAGCCTTCTAGAATCAAAAATTAAGAAATAAAAGTAAGTATTTATTAGAACCATTGAGTGATAATCAAGTTGACTAATGCACAAATACTTAACCTGCGCATCCATGTATACCTACCAACATTCACTTACAGATCACAAACCTAGTTCTTAACTGCTGTTCATATGTTTACATCATTCTTAACAGTTATACCACTTTCATCTGATTACTAAATGCCTTGATATTCGCGGACAGGAAAAAACATTTCAACGATCAACTGCATGAATTTTATTGCTTGTAATTCCCCACTTATATTTTCACTGTTTTTCTCGTCGTTGCTTTCATTTCTAGCCACGTAGTTCAGTTTTTTCACATTCTAGGTGAGCACTAACATAATCGTGTATCAAAACAGGAGGTATATCTGTTTAACTCGAAACACTACAATGATATGAATGAAAACAAACTGGATAATTAATATTTTTTGCGATTTGTTCTATTCTTTTTTGATTTTCATATTCTTCTATGCAATTTCGATAAGCCTATTATTCAACTTGCAGTCAAATGTTTTCCTTTAGGTTTTTCTACCACTTTTCACCCTCCTTACTTTGTGTATCGTGTGTTTGAACTGATTATGTTTGAAATTAGGTTGTTGATCTTTGAAATTGTTACGGTTACACATGCGGAGTGACTTCATCTGTTTGTATAATTTTTCGCTCCTTGCTTTGACTTTGACTTTTTCCTAACTTTTTTCCAGTACTGTGTCATGTGTAGAATTTTTTCCCGTAATTTTTATTATCTGACCCTTTTTCTTCTGTCTTTCTGAAATATAAATCCATTTTTGTTTACTGTTAGCTCATATTAATTTTTGATAAACAATGTCTTCCATGTGAGATGTTTCATAAAAAGTAAATCGAACTGAAAGTTTCTAAGTGTTTTCGTAAGTCGTTTTTGCTTGTTGCCTGAAATCTGCGGAAGTGACCAGATAAACGGCGGTCATTTGCAATACAAATGAGAACAATTAGCACGTATGTGATATTCTAAATTCTTATGTCGAAAAAAGATTAGATGAAGAGATGTTTTTATTTGCGTTTTCGTAATACCAAAAAAAGCAGTCATCGAATATATATATATATATATATATATATATATATATATAGGGGGCACTAGACAGCTGCTTCGTCCTTGTATAGGACTCCTTAGTAGTGCACACCCATGACCCGGCTAGGGACCGAACTCAGGACCATCAGGTTTCATGGCTACTTTAAACATAAAATCCTTATTTACCCCAGAAAGTATAGATATACTTGTTTAAACGAGCTGGATTCATGTTTTAAATTATTTTTCTTTGAGAAATTTGTATGAATGCTAGGAGTTTGAGGAGGAGTGGTTTCTTACCAAAGGTTAGAAAAGCAAAAGATCCCCGATTACAGTTTTGTAATCCTAAAATTCTGGTTTGTTTTACTCAAAATTCAAATAAATTTGTGATATGGTAGTCATCACAGATGAATTCGCTTGACTTTTAATGCAACTACATAGCGAACAGCTGTGCTATCACTAATTTATAATTCAAGAAGGTTAGTAGATTCGATGGCATGACAGTAAATACACAATTTCCCATGTACTAAGGACAGTGAGTCGTTTTGTATGACTCCATATAATTATTCAGTAGTTATGTGTTGGATCACCGTATGAACAGTGTGACTATTCATGTTGGAAAAGCTTATTAGTGACAAAAGATTTCATGTGATCCGAGATATCAAGAGTCACTTATAAGCGGAGTTTTCCTTGAATTTATTCAAGCTTTCTTTAAATTTCTGATAATTATTTCATAGATATAAGATGCGTATTGTGTGGGCAGCCTTTATAACTTATTGGAGAATCTCTAAAAGAGAGAACCAGAGTTCAGAGCTCTTTCTTAGGAATCCAGCGTTGTCATTCAAAGCAGTACTTGAACTTGTTTATTTGCTATTAGATCCTAACGATCGATTCTACTTCAAGAAATCATCATCTACGTATCTCAATGAAGAATGAGATACGTAGAGTAATATGGACTTGTAAAGATACCGATTAGATTCAAAAGATTGTATAAAACGTAGCTAACATAAGGCGCCGAATAATGAAGAAAAGCATATCGGTTATGGGGAGGATAGAAACTATTTAATCGCTAAGATATGACCGCCTATCAGAAATTTTAGTTTCTACTTGTTCATAATTTAAGACCATCCATCATCCTGCAAAGTTTTTGCAACTTTAACGCTACGGACCTTATTTTCATTTGTAAAAAATAAGAGCGATTACAAATTTGTGCACGATTTCATCAAACACATGTTGTGCACAAGTCTATATTTATTGTCAGACTAAAGACAATTGAAAATAGTTCGATCAGCTAGAAATGAAAGAATTTGAGCGCTTCTTAAGCTCCCACATGAGACTGGTTCCCCCCATCAAAAAGGAAAATCTTTGTAACTTAATAACAAAACAGCGAATTCTTGATAATGATAATCGTTTTCACAACCTTTTAATATTTTATTATCACTATTTTACCCTTGGGTTCCTAGTGGAACATAGGGCTTCAGTGGCACGTCTCCAGTGCAATCTGTTCTCTGCAATCTTCTGAACCTGGCTCCACGACTGCCCACAACCTCTCATTTATCCCTCACATGATCTCCACCATGTCACCCTCGATTAGGACGCCCAACTGGTCGTTTCCCATTTGGATTCCACTCGAGTGCCTGGCGTGTGTTGTCCCCGATCGGCCTTCTCAGTGCATTCCCAATCCAATCGAATCCATCTCCACTTCCTTCCGCATACTTGTTGAGCTATGGCTTCTTGGTTGGTTCGTTGTTAGGCCAGAGTTCTTTGTTGTTTATTCTTTCTGGCCATCCATCTGATCTTCAGTATCGAGCCAGCATAAGCAGCTGTAGATGAATAACTGTAGTTTGTTGGAAATGCTTTTCGTGACACGCCAATTTTCTGAACCATCACATAGCAGCACTGACTTGACTGAAATAGTGTTGAAAATCTGGATCTTGTTGTTTATACTGAGTGCAGTAGATCTCCACACTGATTTCAGATGAGTGAAAGCTTGTCTCGCTTTTCCGATCCTGGTTTTGACATCCTCATCTGTGCCGCCACGGCCTGTGGTTGAAACGATGCTGCCTGCCTAGGTAGGTGAAGAAGGCTACTTCCTTTAAGTTTCCCCCACTGATGATGATTGGAGCTTGTTGTTGTTGTTGTTGGGTATCTTCATCACTTCTGTCTTCTCTACATTCACTTGAAGTCCCGTTTTCGCTGTCTCACCCTGCCTCTTCTGTTAACTTGTCAGTTTTTGCCTGTAGATCTTCGAGTTTGTGCGACGAGATATTAGACATAGATCATCACCAACGAAATCCAAAACTTCTAGGCTCTTTTCATCGGTCCAGTCAGCGTATCCCCTTCTTCTCGCTGCTCACAGTTTACTGCATGATCCAGTTGACCACAATCGGGAAGATCATCGGTGATATTAGACAGCGTTGTCTTACTCCTGTCATCACTTCAAAGGCGTCACTGAGCCTTCCATTGTGGATCACTTGGCATGTGGCATCGTCATGTAGTTGTCGAATGAGGTTGATGAAGGTTTGTTGCACCAGAACCGTAGTGTCAAAGCAGCTGCCTGCCAAATCACTTCTCAGTCGACGCTATCGAAGACCTCTTCAAAGTGTATGAAGTTGAGGTAGAGAGTTGAATGCCATTCTATGCTGTGTTCTATGATGATGTGTAGAGTATCAGTTTGATCCGTATATGATTTGTTATTCCTGAAGCCAGCTTGTTCCGGTCGTAGTTTTGAATCCAGCGCATCATTTAGTCTCTCCAGGATGGTGCGGCTTAATAGTTTGCTTGGTGTGAACAGGGACAGCAGCATGATTCCTCGCCAATTCTTGCAAAGACTTATGTCTCCCTTCTTTGGGAGTTTGACACGGTATCCTTCCTTCGAATCTGCAGATACCTTCCATTCCTTCCATACCTTGTGCAGTATTGGTGTGAGCATGTGCGATGTTGTCTCTGCCTGTGTTTTTCAGTGCTTCTGGAGGGATTCCATATGGTCCTGCTGCATCCCCGCATTTCAGTAGCTTTATGGCGTTCAATACTTCGACTTTCGTTGGAGGGCCTGTGTTCACTTGTAGTTCAGCTGCTGTGCTGCAGGTGGTATTTCTGGACGAGTTGCAAGTGGTGGTCGACTCAAGAGCTTTCTGAAGTGATCAGCCCATTGTTTCCTTGGTTTCTTCTCTTCGGTAACTAGCTTTCCATCATCATCTTTTATTGGTTTCATCTCCGTTCATCTCTTCCCAGATGGTAACCTTGTTATTTGATGCAATGTAGTCAGGTCTCTCCTAACAGCAGCCAGTTCTGCTTCACTTGCCAGTGTGTCGTAGTAGTGTCTTTTATCCTTCCGCGCACTCTTCTTCACTTCTCTATCCAGTGTAGTGTTTTATACGTTGTACTCAGTTCCTTTTTCGTTATGCATCCTTGCACTGGTTCACCTTCTGCTTCACCATCCTCCTCTCCCTCCTCTATCAGCTTCTATGTGTTCGTCGAGATCCACTCCTTGTCTTGTTTCCTCTTCCTTCCTAATACGGTTATGCAGGTTTATTTCCACATAGCTTTCAAAGAGTTCCATTGTTCATCCACACAGGTTTCTTCAGGGATGTCGCTCGATATCTCCTATCTTGTCTTGATGGCTGACTTACGCGAAGATGTCCCACATAGTTTCATCCTTCACTTTCTGTTCTGGGTGTTCAACTTGAACTGTGGTCTATCAACAACTTCTTTCGAGGCTTTCAACTTGATTTTGAAGGTAGCTGACATGCACTAGATAGAGTGAGTGGTATGAATCCACCCACATCTGCTCCCCTTCTTCATCTGATCTCGTGTCCAGTAGGCTGCGTCTCCATCTCCACCTTCTTCACATTGAGATGAAGTCGATCTGATTTTTAGTGTAGTGTGTCCCAGTGTCTGGTGAAATCAAATCCGTGTCGCCTTGTGAATATATTTATACTTGTACACACTGCCTCGCCTGCAATCACCAAATCGTTGAATGAGCAGAAGTTCAAAACAACAGTTCTACATTCTCATTAATGTAACCGAGTGCTTCTCGACCCATGGTTAGTTCTCTTCGTGTGTTGTCTGCTCCCAGTTTGGCATTCATGTTGCCCATTAGAAGTTAGATGTTGCCAACTGAGTTGGGGTCTTGTCCAGTGCTGATTGCAGTTGTCTGTAGAATACCTGCTTCTTCTCTTCCTGATCTGCATTATTTGTAGGTGCGTAGTGTAGCATTGTATGATTGTGACCTTGCTTTCCTCCCTTCCAGTTGAATCTTGCCGTCATTGTCATTCGAGAGGAGACTGGTTCCCACTGCATGAGAGAGAGCCTTTGATGGTCTTCGTGACATCATGATATCCACTCTGAAACTCAGTGTGCTGTGTTTGTCTGAGTGACAATATCGGAGTAGATTATTGACTGCTCTCCAGTTGATAGCCTGTAGAGTCCACTTCCATTCCATCTGCTTTCGCAGATTCTTAGCACTTCTACGATATACCTCCTCATCTGTTTGGCGATCTTGCCAGCTTTGCTAGGTCCAAACATAGTGTGGACATTCCATGTCCTCATGTTTAGTTTTGCTTTCATTGAGGGAGAGAAGACACATCGGTCAACTGGCTTCCCGAAGGCTTTCACCAGCCGGCATCATTTTGTCCCTCCGATTTCAGCGGGGAATATGTTTGTTTCTATTTTTTACATTTTGTGTGTGCTTTGAAGTTTCTTTAGCGATTGGATTGATTTAACGGGGTAGGGTTGCTAGCCCTGTGGGCAATCTTCCCTCTTTATCGGGCTTAGTACCGGCTGGTAACTGGGGGAGTAGTTAACCAGGCGAGGTTTTGATAACCTTTGAGCATGTATAATTGTTTACGGTGTAAATACAGTTCTTAACAGAGGAATCGAATT